ACTTCGGGCTTTTTATTGTAGCTTTCAGTTGTTGCTGTCCCGTTCATCAGGTTTTTATTGTAGCTTTCAGTTGTTGCTGTCCCGTTCCCTCCAACACTGGTCCTTGCATTCCACACGCAGAGTGCTGTACAGAGCATATGAAGTCAGATATCTGCCAAAAACCTCTCTTTTCTATGAATGCCTGGTGAAAAACACCATGTCTAACCTTTAAGGGGTCTGTCATGTCTCCGTGCTACAGGAGACGGATGCCTTGATATCCATGACTTCAAAGATCTGCACATGTTTGTAATCTCTAATGCTATGCTGCACCAATAATGAAATTCACCCAAGAATGGATATATAGAAGGTCACACTACTCACGCAAGAAATGGCGCCACCATGTACAACTTGAGACCAGCAACTCCATGCGTTATCACCTCATTACTTGCTGGCTGAAGGTGATCAAGCCGATGCCATGTAATTTCCTACAAGTATTCCATAACAAACGAACGTAAGAGACCCATCATACACACGCAGACAAGATTACACCCAAAAGGTTGACTGTGTCCTATACATACACTGATCTCTTTCTTCGTAAGAGGTGCAAAAGCAGTATCATCAGACACCCCAGCAACTATGTAAAGTCGCACTCTTTGCTGCCTGAATACAAATTCAATGTAATCTTCTTTCTTGAGTAGCTTTGCGACATCAAATCCAGTTTCTTCTAAGACCTGTGTTTAGCAACGAAGAACAGTAGAGAAAACAGCCAACACAAGTGTGACGTATCATTCAGATTTTTACGCAAACAATCAGCAGTACAGTTTCACCACCTAAAATTCTAATTGCACCAGGAGAATAGCAGTAGAGAACTACAACTAATACTTTTGGGCTTTGACCGTTTCTATACCAATGAATTAGTAAAAAAGACCAGTGAGCCTATATCGTTGACCATTGACAGCAGCTCATTTGCAAAAGATCCCAGTTAATGGTAACCTAAGAACAACATTTCCTTGCTCAACTATATTAACTCAAGTAGGAGAATCAACTTGTGGAATATAAGGAGCATGTGCTACGATCAAAGAGTTAAGTTATCATGAAAAATCAGATACCCTGATCTCTCTGATATTTTTTCACCACTGTCATCTATACTTAAATAATCACGCCCACATTTATGTTGACACATCTTCAAAATTGAACATCCAATAAAGTAGAACCAATGCACCCACCCACTACATGAGGTTAATCTGTGACAGCCTGACTCAAAAGATCCAACGACTACATAATAGACGTAATGTTACCCAATAAGCGGTCTTCTTCCAATTACATAGTATTCGTTTTGAATATGCACTTATGATTGATGGGTAGTGGTTACTGAAGCTATCAAGTTTGCAACAAAGGTACAAAACAAATGAACAACGCAAGAGACAGGAGAACAATAGGATCGATACTAACCTCACGTATAGCACATGCATGGTCTTCTTCATTCTTACTCTTCTTCCCGCGAGGAAAGCTCCAGCTTGATCCTTTCCATCCTTTCACTAGCAAGCACTGAAAATTACAGAAAAAAATTCCAAACATGAACTAACAAGTAAACCAACAGAAAACATCCGAAAATCGTAAATATCAGTCAAGGTGTCTAACCCGTTCATATGTCTCATCCATGATAATTGCCCCACAGACGGGAACTCGACATTTGTATGAAGTGAAGTCTTTGAATATGTCATCAATGTGAGCAACATAAGGTCTCAACACATCACAGCTGTTGAATACTATCATCCTACGTTAAGGAAAAAAAATCCACAGAAAACAACGGAAAAGATTGATATACAGATTCTACACTTAAAAGAGAAAGAAAGTCAGTCAGTGTGGCAAACACAAAGCAGCTTAATGTGAAATCATGCTTCAAGCATATGAGATCATAGTCCTTCCAATTACGAGCAATGAAATTCAAAGGAGATAATAAAGAGAAAGGATACAGAGCAAAGTAAACTCTTTCAAAGACAGTGACTTAAGCGTAGGATCGTTTTCTACAGCATTATCTTCATAGTACCAATAAGCAGACTCCACCAGAAACAAAATCCTCTCGAATGACTGTTGATCTTCTTCAGGAACATTCAAAACAAATCGACTGCAAACAAAAATCCATCCATAAACATCAGTTAAACGAAATCAATTCGACACTTTATACGGGATTCGATTTGATAATCAATACCTGCAAAGATCGTCAAGAAGTTCCTTCGAAGGTAGGTTTCCGATGTTCTTCGACGAACTTGATGATCGGTGGAGACCCGACATCTTTGTGTAGTAGTGGTTCTGGTAAATGCCTTTTAAAACCCTAATACTGGATTAGAGAAGGAGTGA